AGCGATCACAAACAGAAAGCGACAAAAGTGTCAAAGTAGCCAAAAGTCATTCATTTTTAATAAGAACCGGCGGCGAGGAACAGCGCGGCGCGTCTTATCCTGTGTGGGCGTCGAGGAGAGTTAAAATCAAGTCAACTTTATGGTATGAGCTATGACGCGGTTCGGCGGCAAGCAATCAGAATGAAGTAGTCCACTGCTTGAGAGGAGTTCAGAGAACACAGACCTGTGAACTTTGGTTCTGACCACAGTTGTTCCGGAGAGTTTGATTATTGCGGTTGCCGGATTTTCAATTATTGAAAATCGCCACGACGTGGGGCCCCCCAATCACGCGGGGCCCCCCCGCGGTGCTTGCCCTGCGGGCCCGTTTGCTACGCCACTGACTGTAATCCACACGTGAGTCCAGCTGCGCTCTCAAAGTGGGGAATTGAAAACAAAATCTTCGTTGCAGCACATTTATTAACGCATCACTGACGACCCATGTCTCCAAACAATTCTTCTTCTACTTGTTTTAATTATGGTTGGCAACTCAACGTGGCGTCTCTCTGAACACAGTAACAGGTAAAAACATGTGCATAATGAAAAAAACAACAAATTTTCACTGGTTAGCTAAATATAGGTGTCCTAATAGTGTTTTTAGCAACCAAGGACACATATATGACCGTCAACATCTCAAAAAAATGTGTTTTGGTGTTTGCGGACCCTTGGACCCTTTCCTGGAGGGCCGGTGTCCTGCATAGTTTAGCTAAAACTTCCTTCAACAAGGTTGGAACTAAAATTTGCAGGACTCCGACCCTCAGGGCCGAGTTTGGGCACCCCTGCTTTAAGCTGAATACAAGTATCATGAAACATCTAGTAAAATAATCTGTACTGTCATCATGACAAAGATAAAATAAATCCGGTATTAGAGATGAGTTATTAAAGGGTCACGAAACACCAAAACACATGTTTTGAGCTGTTGACAGTCGTATATGTGTCCCACACTGCTATAAACACTATTAGGACACCTATATTTCACTAAAAAGTGTAAATTGGTTGTTTTTCCGTTATTTCAAGCAAATTCGTACTTCCTGTTTGAAATGAATTTTTGAAGCTGCGTCACGGTCATGACATAATAGCGTGTATTCCAGCGTGCAGACTGGACGTCTGTGCCAGAGTGTGTCTTATTACGTCTTACAGTGTGTTGCATTAATGCATGAGTAAGGCTTGGTTCAAACCAATCAGCGCGCTCTATTGTGCAACTTCATTAATATTCATTACTGTCACCGTGTTTTTACGCGACATAGACGCCACGTTGTGTTGGCAAAACAAGTGTGAAGTGTTGCTTTTATAGTTTGCTGCTGTTAAGTTTCGTTTTCATTTTCTCTTTGTGAGAGCTCAGCTGGATCACGTGTGGATTACAGTGTACGCGATGCTCGACAACAATAACTTACGTGTCTAAGGAGGAACATTGTTTACCTGAGAGCTGTTCTCATCTGCAAACGCTGAGATCCGGATTCGCTTGTAGTCTTCTCTTAATAAAGACGCGGCTCTAGTTGCTGGTGATTGTCCTGTCTCTACAGATTTGGTAAGTGAGCGACCAGTGCTCTTTGTTTATTCAGTTTGTTCGTATCGAACTACGTTAACTATTGCACCGAGTGAAAACATGTTAGCACCACAACCAAACTTTAACCTCGTGTAGGATTTTTACCGCATTTTGTGACCGGAATAACACACGCGGCTTTCTTACGCTACCTGCCGTGTGCATCTAAGTTTTCGGGAAATGCAGAGGGGTTTTTTCTCTCATTCGCCGTGCGGTATCAAACATTGCATGAAAAATACACGCTTAGAGCAGATCCTCGAATCAAACATCTCGTTTGTCGCGAGGGGCATGAATGAATTCCCTGAATCAAAGAGCCAAACTGCAGTTAAAGTCCACCATTTAATATTTTGGCAAATAATTCGACTACAGATGTCCATGTAGGTTAAACACCATCACTTTCTCCTGTGTGTGTGTATTTTGACTGAAAGTCGCGCGTGCCCAAATAGACACTCCCACACCATCCCACTTTAGTTCCTCCGACACTCCCCCCTAAACAGAGCTGGACACGCCCACTTTTCTGACTTTTTCCAAAGTACAGGTGTGAAAACACCCTGCTGAAACGAGGGGGTTTCATGGCCCTTTAAAACATTTATGTTTAGAAATGTGTTGAAAAAATCTTATTTCCAATAAACAGAAATTAGGGGGAAATCATACAGGCAGGCTAATAATTCAGGAAGACTAATAATTCTGACTTCAACTGGACATTTGCAAAAGTGACATTAGTGTGTGTGTGTGTGTGTGTGTGTGTGTGTGTGTGTGTGTGTGTGTGTGTGTGTGTGTTTTAAGTATTTATCTTTTTAAAGGGATAGTTCACCCAAAACTGAAACTTCTGTCATTATTTACTCACCCTTTACTTGCAACATACCTGTTTGACTGGTTTGGAAAACCATAACTATTGACTTATTATACTGTTTGTTTTTCCTACTATGGATGTCAGTGTTTACAGGTTTCAAATTTTCTACAGAATTTCCAAATAATTTAGTCTACAGAACAGAAAAAGTCTAATGGTTTAGAGACACTTGAAGGCAAATAAATAAAAATATATTGCAATGTGTTTTGGGATTAATTATCCAATCTCTCTTTTAAACTCATATTTTTAATAGGAAGCTCTACAATATTATATTTGTGCATATACATTAGATTAGTCTGTACTGAAGCAAAATCTGGAGCTCATCTAACAGAATAACTTACAATAACGGTCCAAAAACTAGTACAACCAAATTTATATGCTATAGAAAAATATTAAATACAAATTTAAGAGGAAAAATTAAGAGAAGCAAAATAAATAAATAAATAAAATAAAAAAAATAAAAAAATTGTAGGTTGTATTTATTTTTTGCAAAATTTTGTTTGAATTTAATTGTATTATCTTTCAATTTCTAAAGATGTTCTTTGACTAAAATAATTTTTAAACAAATATATCTGTTTAATAAATCTGTTTTGTTTAAATTCATCTAAATACATTGCCTATATTCACTGAGAAATGGATAAAAATATTCGTTTTCAAAATAGACACAATTTTGCTGAGCACTATATATATATATATATATATATATATATATATATATATTTCAAAAACAATTTTAACAATTCTTACAATTTAGATCATAGGTCTCAAACTCAATTCCTCGAGGGCAGCAGCTCTGCACAGTTTTGCTCCAACCATAATCAAACACAGCTGATGTAAATAATCAAGGTGTTCAAAAGAGGTTTGAACACCTTGATTATTTGGATCAGCTGTGTTTGATTAGGGTTGGACTGTGCAGAGCTGCGGCCCTCCAGTTACTAAGTTTGAGACCTATGATTTAAACCATAGGTGCCCAAAGTAGGGCCCGCAGGCCAAAGTTGGCACATGGTAACCTTTGGTTTAGCCCGCCATCACATCTGAAAAGAAAATGGGGAAAAATGATGGGCGGTTGGTTGAGGCGAATTTCGAATTGAATTAATTATAGGCGAACTAATAATTGAACTTTTTGTTTTATGGTTTAATTGAGGAGCTACAAAAAAAGCCAGCTAAAATTAATGTTTCATTTAAATGTTGTAAATGAATTTTAAATTTAAATACTGTCACTTGACAGATGCACAAGACATCAGCGAGCAAATCAAGGCAAAGGAAGGAGCAGCTCGACTAGTGTATTCAGCATTGAACTCCAATGTGTTATAAATGGGATTGTTTATGTTTTTACTATAATAAGTTCATTATAAAATATAAAAAATTATACTGCATCATTATTTATTATGTTTTAAAGCTTTTTAACTTTTTTAGTTATTTTAAAATAATTTGGTAATAAATTAAAAATGACACAAGGCAAATTTAATGTCAATTGGTTTGGCATATTTAACTTCAGCCCACAGATCTCAATCAAGTTGGGTTTTTGGCCCTTTATAAGAAAAAATTTGGTCATCCCTGATTTAGACCAAACTCAATTCCATTGTAATCTCTCACAAGACATGAGAAATGTCCAATATACAATGAGTCAAATAGTAATCCACAAAATAAAAAAAGTAAAAAAAAAAATCATAATGTAAACAGTAACTTAAAAAAAATAATCAACAGTCAATGCAGACTCAAACAGAAGCTTTGTAAAGGGTTAAAACCACATTCATTAAACAAATCATAAAACTAAAGCCCTCTCACTCTTCATTATTTTTAAAGATGGCCAACTCCTTTTCAAAGACAGTCAACTGAAGAGCTTTTTTCTAAATGTAATATTTTAATTAAAATAAGTGAACAATTTGCAGTTAAGTCATCATTTTTGTTGTTCAGATGTACTCCAAATTTTACAATGTCCCATCAAATAGATGGGAACACTGAAACGAGTTATATTTTTTTGTACGTGTGCCATAACAAAAGCACAGTTTTCATTTTCATCACTAGAGGGCGTGTATTGGCAACAAACAAATGCATAGATTGATGACGGTGTGACTGAATGTAAAATCATGGGAGTTGTGATCTTCGTTACATGCTACAAGACGTCTGCAGAAATCATGTTGATGGATTTAACACTTGCTAAATTATATAACACCTATTATCATGGAAGGATTATCAATGTATGATTCTTCAGCTCATGACGATGCCTAATGAACTTAATTAAGACTTTAAATGTCACTTTAATATTATTAATAATAATATTATTTAATATTATTACATACAATATTATGTACTGTCATCATGGCAAAGATAAAATAAATCAGTTATTAGAAATGAGTTATTAAACTATTATGTTTAGAAATGTGATGAAAAAAATCTTTCTGTTTAACAGAAATTGGGGAATAAAATAAACAGGGGGGCTAATAATTCTGTCTTCAGCTGTACATAAGTCAGTAACATTTTTAACACTGCTCTATTGGTCATTGGAAAATGAATGAAGAGAAATCGTACATATCATGCCTTTAAGTTTCTGTACACTTGATTTCCCAGGTGACAGTGTGTGAGCTGCGCATGTATGGCTGATGGACAGACGTCTGAACGGATCACAGGACAATGCTGGCACGGAGCCGTTTCATCCTGGTGCTGGTGGTGGGCGCATTGCTGGCGGTGCTGAGTTTCAGCCTGCAGTATTGTAAGTGTGTGAGCACATTGTATGATTTCACCAGCATTTCCTTTGTATGAACTTACAGCTATTCATACATAGACTCAAATTCCCCCAGTGACTACTGTGTGTGTGTGTTTAGTGTGTCAGTGGGAATATCACCTCCTCTGCTGGATTGTATTTGCATCTTGGTATGTGCCTTTGTGTGTTTTGTAATTCCAGAGGGAATATGGTCTCAATTACGCTGCATTCAGCACACTAAACAAAGGCATTTCCCTTGAAGGTGTGCTATATATAGGGTCATGGGATATTCTCTGGGTCAGTTAAACACAGTTTTAGGGGTTAAAGTTGTCAGTTGGCTGCAAATGAGTAAATTGCAATTCAATGAAGAATACAAACAGTGTCTGTGTAGGAACTGCACAATATTGGATAAAACTGACATTGGGATATTTTGTTTTTCAACGATATACACTCACTGGCCACTTTATTAGGTACACTTTATAAATGTGGCAAATTGCAAACAAATACATAAACTGACTGGTCACTTTATTAGGTACAACTTACTAGTACCAGGTTGACCCCCTTTTGCCTTCAGAACTGCCTTAATCCTTCGTGGCATAGATTCAACAAGGGACTGGAAATATCCCTCAGAGAGTTTGGTTCATATTGACATGATAGCATCAAGCAGTTGCAGCAAATTTGTCGGCTGCTCATCCATGATGCAAATATCCCGTTCCACCACATCCCAAAGATGCTCTGTTGTATTGAGATCTGGTGACTGTGGAGGCCATTTGAGTACAGTGAACTCATTGTCATGTTCAAGAAACATTTTGTAGAAATTTGTGCTAACAAGCAGTTGGACAGGTGTACCTAATAAAGTGGCCAGTGAGTGTAGAATTTCAATAATCAAATGTAAAACAACAGTGTCTTCATTGTATGAATATAAACCCAATTAAAAGATATAATCTAATTGTTAAAGCAGAAAACTTTTGTCCAAATGGTTTAATTTATCTTGAAATCTCTTGAAATCCTGCGATGTGACTATTGCAGATTCACACATTGCGTTATCGATGCTGAAACGATATATTGTGTACACCTCTAAACATCCAATTTTTTTAGTCCCCAAATGATTTAAACTCTCTTGAAATGCTCAGTCACAGGCCTTAAAAGCATGCAAATAACTTTTACTCTAGTTATGGTTAAATTTAGCAGTGACTCACGTGTTCTGTAGCTCCTGGTCTACTTTAATTCAGACTCTACATTGCAGGTCTTGCAATGTGACTATTTAGGATGCGCACATTGCATTATCGATGCTGAAACAATATATTGTGCTGGCCTAGTCTGTGTACTCTAAACTATGGAAATACTATGGAAATAGCTTTAGGGAAATACGTGAATATGTTTTTGGTGGAGTTTTCAATAATAGATACTTAAATAGCTACACAAATGTACTTTCAATTATGCAATAGTACTGAAATTTGTTGTTGTGCTCTAAAAATACCATGGTACAGTAAACAAAGGTCTCGGGACTGGAAAAACATGAGGGATGAGTAGACCCACATGGAATCTGTGTGCGCAAAAATCCGCAGATATCTGCAGATTTGAAGCCAGTCATTTGTCTATTTATTAGCCTGTCTATTTACTTGTGTAAATGTGCGAAAACCTATATTTATTTAGTTTTTACATTCATTTCAATATTATTATTGACTAATAGGAAAATGTTTATTTAAATTATTTACAATACAGTTTGTGAACTAATATTTTCTGTCCTTTAGTAGATATATCATATGAGAGACTTGCTGCGTTTACCAAATAAGTGGATCTAATTGGATCTGCATTGTAAACATTAAATAAAAAGTTAAAAAGGTATTATTTTTTATTTCATAAATGGGTAATTCTTCAACTACAGGCACTTTTATATCCAAAAATATATATTATTTTGTTTAAATTCCTCTTTCTTTGTCAGACTAACAATAGACCTTTAAAAAATGTACTAGCTTTCTATTATATATTTTTCATTTTATTATTATTATCATCATATTATCAGTTTTCACCTTGTCGCGCACCCAGAGTTTGAAACAATGAAAATAGCATTTTAAAATATTATTTATCTGGTATCTATTAATGTATCCTAATTGAGCACTAGTGAAATAAATAATCTGTAGTAATTAATGTGAGATTATTATCAATATTATTTTTTATACAAAATATAGCTGTTTCACAGTCTCAGTGTCATTTCCACCACAACACTAATGTCGCTTTAAAAAGTTTATGTGAAAGATTATTTAGGTGGTTTCTATGAAAATGAATAGTGCCATCTGAGAACATGTTCAAGATGGAAAGTATTTATAGTTTGATCAACAACACTTGAAGAAAAATCAAGGTAAATATTGCTTGATAAGGAAATTAATTTATTCTATGTCATTTCCAAACATGTTGTACCTTCAAACATGATGTACCAAACAAAATTAAGGTAAATAAGAGTATTTTGTATACATGAAAGACTAGCATCAATTCAAAGCTAATCAGTAAAGCTATTTTTCATTTGTTCACAATACACTGCTGAAATGTCATTTCCATCACCACACATTTTAAAAAATATTTAAAAAGTTTTTATCACATATTAAAAGTGTGTTTACAATGTATTAGTTCATGCTTTATTTAATATACAAATTCAGTTTATTGATTTTCTAATAAGCTCTTAACAAAATTAATATTAGATTTTAGGGTGTGACAGGTGTACAATTTAGCATACAACTAATTTATTTCATTGACAAATGTTTATATAATTATTATCTAAATTATTATATATATTAATAAATTAATCATTATTATATATATATATTGTGGAAAGATTGGTTAAACTACATACAAAAATGATCTTAGACAATGCTTGACTGCCATAATTGATTTCATCTTGAAATAAGCTGTATATTGAGATGTGGAGTTGACATTTGTTCAGTTCACGACGGAAAAAAAATGTTTCTCTTCTTATTTTAAGTTTGTCCTCTTACAGATCTTAAAACTAGACAAATGGTTTAAACTTATGAGGCTGTGTTACGTTCATTTTGAACAAATTTTTTTTACTCAACTTCACAAGGCTAAAAGTGCCTGTAGTTGAAGAATGGCCCATATTACGTCTTTAGTGCTGATACTTCCAAAATCATGCATCAATTCTCCACAGAAATAGCAAAAATAAAATAAATGTCTACATATTCTGTCTGGACCTGTTTTCATTTTTGGGTAAACTAATCCTAACACCAGGTGAAAACAGGGCCTTTAAGAAGTAAGAAGTAAGAGTAAGTAAGAAGTTTAGATTCTCTGACCTGAGAATGTTTGCATGAGCTTGTGAACTGAAGAAGTTGGGGCCCACCAGATGACACTTTGATGACACTTCACTTCTGGTCAGTCTAAACGCAGACTCTGAAATCAGCAAATGAGGGAAATGTGGGTGAAAGCGAGCAGTCTAAAACCCTGGAAAGTCATGAGTGAGAATGTGATTTGCAGTAGAGGAATATATGTGTATTTTTCTGATAAATGCCTCAGTAAGATTGGCTTTTGAGACAGATTATGTTTAGATTAGACCCCAATGTCCGGTGTCCTTGACTGAAAATCCTCTTCCGCTGGGGACTGCGGTTTTCTCTCTCAGCCTCACAGATATCAGCAGATGTCACAGCGACAGCTACAGGGAAATCCTGCTACTTTAGTCATTTACCAGCACAGATGGTAGGAATTTGCTAAGCCAACTCGGATAAAACCAAACTGACATTTTTTTGGGCAAGGTATGCAGGGATTGGGCAGAAATCCTCTTAATGCCCACCCTCTGTATCATCACAGCCAATCACATCTCAAGTCTGAGCAGCAGGATTTATACATCTGTGCTTGTTTATAATAAAGCGCTGACCTTTGTCATTCTTACAGTCACTATCATTGCAGTGTTATAACGTATCACAAATTCCTTAACTAAAGGGGTAGTTCACCCAAAAATGACAATGACCTCATCGATTACCCTCCCTTATGTGTTTTAAAACCTTTATGACTTTTTCATCTGTTGAACACAAAAGAAGATGTTTAAAAAAATGCTGGTTTCTAGGGTAAAAAAAAATCACTTTGGAAGTCAACCGATAACCAGAAGGGTGTAATGGTAAACACTTCATGCTAACTAATAGAAAAAGGGGAGGAGTTATGCTGAACACTTCATGCTAGTGTAGCAAAAGGGGACCAGCTATCAGGCACTGAGGTTGGTTCATAGACTGTAAAAGATATGGACGTAGTATCAGTGACGTCACCCATAAGTGTGTGAAGAGAGCAAATGAAGCTACAAGTAGGCACTGCCAACCATCGCCATTTTGTCGAACGTTATAGGACCGATTGGGGGTGCATGCCCAAAAAAGGGCAAAGAGGTGGAGCATCAGTGGAGCTTAAGATGACTACTAGCATTTTGCTTAGACAGGCTTTTCTTTGGAAGAAACGCTTAATACTTCATTACCTGGGTCTCGTTTGTGTAATGGCATATTGTTTGAGACTATATATTACATAAGAATATGTAGAGAGTAGTTTGAGACTATATATTACATAAGAATTAATATGTAGAGAGTCGTTTAGACTATATATTACATAAGAATTAATATGTAGAGAGTAGTTTGAGACTATATATTACATAAGAATTAATATGTAGAGAGTCGTTTAGACTATATATTACATAAGAATTAATATGTAGAGAGTAGTTTGAGACTATATATTTCATAAGTATCAATATATAGAGTACTTTGAAACAATAGATTATAAAAGAAATTATAGAGTACTTTGAAACTATATTTTACATAAAAATAATATATGAGTAGATTGAGACTATAAATTACATAGTAAATAATATATAGAGTAGTTTGTGATTATATATTATATAGTAAATAATATATAGAGTAGTTTGTGATTATATAATACATAAATATGAAGAGAGTAGTTTGAGACTATATATTACATAAGAATTAATATGTAGAGAGTCGTTTTAGACTATATATTACATAAGA